GGGGTCCCAGGCCCTTCCATCCGAGCGTGAGCACGAGCAACATGCGGGGGGGGGAGGGGGGGGCGGAGGGGGCAGGGCTCCAGGGAAGGGGCCGGTGGTCTTCCCCAGGGAGGCATTTCTTAGCTAATAATGAAGTTACAATTAGTAGTAAAATCACTTTCAGGAGACACAGATATTTAAATCAACCTCCAAACTAGGCCTGGTGAAGAAGCAATCTTTCTTCCTTTCCAGCCAGTCTCAGCTGCGTTGGGGGTTCACCCCAGACGCCTGTCCAGTGCTGCCTGTGACCAGCACTCATAATGCCATCCCCACCCACAGGTACGAAAGCCGGGCTTTGAAAATGCCGTCGAACGGGTTTTCTGGAAGGCTAATTATGTAGAGCGCAAGGAAAGTGTATTTGATACAATGGAGCGCAGAACACGACAACTTCAACGTGAGTGGAACCTGACCGGGCAGATACAGTGCGGCCTGTCAGCACAGATGTGCCCCGAAGACCCGGGGACCAGAACGGTTCCACAAGAGGGCTGCGTCCTGGGGCAGAGAGATCCTTCCTAAGATGGGACACAGAAGACACTGCTTGGGCTCGGGGTAGAACTACACACTTACGTGATTCACAATCTCCTGAAGAAGTTTAACATCTTCTTCTCGAGACCCAGTGCTCTCTTGTAGCTGCAGGTGAAATGCGGGAGAAAATGACTCCCCCACCACTTTTAGCCCAGAAATGCTGAAAGGAAACACACAGCGTAAGTCCCTTCCGGGTGCAACGGTGTCTCGCAGAAAAATAACTACGAAGTCTGCATTCATGAGCGGAGCAGAACCCTGTGGTTTTCCCAGGAGGCGTCACACGGCGGGGCTCCGATCCCACAGAGACAGCGGGGATCCGTGCTCCGGGCGGTGCTCCCTGGTGTAGATGCCCCTACCCCTGCAGGGCCCGCTGTGAGTTGGCGGGAAGAAGGCTCCCTGTCCTGGCGGACGTCACTGGCTCACACAGCGCAGAAAACAGGAGTCATCCCCAGGCTTCCACCGGGAGGCCTGCGGGCCCTGCTCCCGCCTCCCCGCCTCCCCAGCTCTGGCGGCCCCTCCTCACACACCCGCTGGGTCCCGAGGCCTGGCCCTCACACCCTCTCCTCATCTGCCCCTCGCTCTGACTTCCACTGCTGGCTAGTAAGCCGGGTCCGGCCCCAGCATCACCTCCTGCGGCCTCCCTCCCAAATCGCTCCTTTCGGGAAGCGTCTACACATTCATTTTCTATTACTCTGCCTCCTTCACGACTACTTACTGCTCATTTATCTTGTCTTTCACAAATGACAGAGATGAGCTCTAACACTAAAGACGCTGCATCTTGGCCACCGGAAGTATGATCAGATTACGAAGTTCCTTTCTTATTTGCATGTTTACTGTTAAGTTTTACTTGGATTATGATTATTCTCATTTTAGGATTAATAGCACAGACATCTGCAGCTTCTCAGGGAGGGAGAGAGATTCCTTTAGGCGTGAAATCCCGTGTTTTCAAATCATTATTACAGACGTCATGAGGCCCGCACATCAGGTTCATTTACAGTCCGTGTTTATCCTGTGATAATAATAGTTTGATTTTTGACCCACCTGCTAGACTGACTACAAACGGTGGCATATGACTGTCGGAAACTGAGCTACACATTTTTTTTTTTTTTAAATTTTTTTTTTTTTTCAACGTTTATTTATTTTTTTGGGAACAGAGAGAGACAGAGCATGAACGGGGGAGGGGCAGAGAGAGAGGGAGACACAGAATCGGAAACAGGCTCCAGGCTCCGAGCCATCAGCCCAGAGCCCGACGCGGGGCTCGAACTCACGGACCGCGAGATCGTGACCTGGCTGAAGTCGGACGCTTAACCGACTGCGCCACCCAGGCGCCCCTGAGCTACACATTTTAAATTCCTTCATTACCCAGCTTCCCTTAGAAAGATCTGCTTTTCCCTCAGAATATAATGAGTGCAAGAAGCACTTTCTAGCACACGGGATTCCTTCAACATGTTCAGGACTCAATGAGCTTTCCTAAATGACCGTGTGCCAAGTATCAAGGGAGGTGTGAGAAGCTAACTTCACTGGCCTTTCAGACCACCAACCAAGACCGGTAATCTGGGTCTCCTTTCCTTAAATGTAATATGTCCTACAGGCTTCTCAATAAACCAGGTAGCAGCACAGTGCAGAAAAATACCTCATCAAATAGGGGTTTACTCCAGAATGCAAGCACGGTCTAACAGGAGACAATTCTAACAGTGAAATTCAGCATGAGACAAGTCTATGATTTTTTTGAAAAGTCTCCAAATCTAGGAATAATCTGATCAATACCACCTACAAAAAAATCCCGTAGTACAACATTTCGTACTTTAAAACAACCAACTGAGCTACCCATGCGGCCCTGATGTTTCACACTTAATGAAGAAAGACTTTTAAGTTGGAAATGACAGAAAATGTCTATTACTACTATTACAGAAGATGTCTAGCGACCTAGAGCAACACAATGAAAGAAAAAAAGAACTAAGATGTTTAAGAATTTGGAGGAAGAGAGAAATTACTGCAGACAATAGGACCTCTACGTACATCATCACACACAGAATGGTACAAACGTCTAGAATAAATAAGGGCTTGGAAAGACTGCTGGAGATCAGATCATGAGGACACAGCACAAATGCCAGAGAAGACTGGCTACCAGCTGGCAGGAAGGTGGGGTCACGGGAAAGAGGCAGTTAAGAGAAGAGAGGACAGAGTGTGCTTGAACGCTAATCAAATCGCTCGGAACGGGTGACGGCAGAAAGGGGATGGCCGAAGGCCCTGAGTCCTTACGGAGGAAGAGCTATGACTGCAGGAGGCAAGCCCCCCAGCCCACCCCCCGCCCCCGCCCCGGTTGTCACACCGGGGAGGAGCGGTTTGGATGCCCGTGTACGTGCACATCTGTGACGGAAGATGTGGAGGTCTGAGTGACAGCATGAGGCCGGGCTGTCTGCCAACACCGGGAGCAGGGCAGACAGGGATCTGGGGGCTTCGGAGGAGAAGACGGGAGGGCGGAGGAGGGCTGGGCTTACAAAAGGGGCACACTGCTACCACCGGACAGAATGAAGGGCGCTTCGGTTGGTGTTCCTGAATCTACAGTGGCTCCAGTGTGCCGTGTTGGCACATTAACATTTCATAAAGCAACACGAACAATGGCTCCCAACCATAAATCATGCAAGAAGAACTTCTGTTATTATTGTGCAGACACACCCAGAACGGTAATTATATCTGCCCCTACTTTATCTGGAACAGCCGCGATCTGCTCATTTATTCACTGTCCTTTCCTTTTAGAGAAGCTTCTAGTTCCCACATCTGGCAGTAAGTGGGACTTTCATGACTGAAAAGACATGTTTCCACCTTGGGAAAGACAAAAGGAAACACCTGGGCAACTGAGATCATTTTCTGTAAGACCAGAAATCTGTCTGAAGGCGTCACCTACCTGAATTTTTTAACGCCAGAGCAACCTTAAAGAACTACTCTTGTGTCATTAAGACAAACACAAGCCAACACTCATAGGGTTCATTTTGATTTCACTTGTTTTTCTTCACTTAAAATAAAACTTAATAATTTTCTAAAAAGTATGGACGATATGAACCCACCCACTGTCACCTAATGACACAGCATATAATGATATTTATGCGTACAGACGAGGAAAGATTCTCCGTGTTGACCCGAGTTCTTACTGGTGATAGCGTGTCTGGTGCTTATCTTCACCTCTGTCCCTTATATACTGCTATCGCATTAATGAGCTTGTATCCCTTTTAGAAAAACAAAGTCACGGTTCGTTAAGGCAACAACAAAGCAGGGCACCTGGGTGGCTCAGTCAGTTTCGTGTCCGACTCTCGATTTCGGTCCAGGTCACGATCTCATGGCTGTGAGATCAAACCTCACGTTGGGCTCTGCAGCGAAGCGTGGAGGCCGCTCGGGATTCTCTCCCCTTTCTCTCTGCCCCTCCCCCTGCTTGTGCGTGCTCTCTCTCAACAAATTATAAGTAATAAAATAAAACAACAACAAAATGATGCTCTGGTTTCAGGCCCACAAATTTGAAAGAACCGAGTTCCTCATTTCTTAGCCACGAGTCAAACTGATCCAAGCCTATTAAATACACTCAAAACCAAAGAGGTGGCATTCAAAATTTTTCACTAGTTGTTTAAACGGGTACAGACTTTAAGTTCATTGAAAATATAGTTAACTTACCCTTGTAGAGCTTTATGGATTCGTTTGCATTTTTCCCTCAACACTGAAAAAATACCTGTGTGAAAAAAAAATATTTGGAAGATGTGATATTACTAATCTAAACGTATCTCTAAAGATGTTTAGTGTTCGAGCTCATCAACTTAAAATGTGGCCACCCGCCCAGAGACAGGAGCGCCTCTGGAGGCCCCGGCCCGGTCTCGGCATGCCACCCTCACCTCCTCGCCCGCTCTGAGCACAAGCTGGGGGAGGTTTCCCGCAACAGAACGAGGGCTCTCGTTCCCATCAGGAGCCTGTAAATAATCTAAGAATAAAAGGGTACGGCTATAGTACTTATTTCTGGACCCTTAACGATTTGATAAAAGATAAGACGCTATAGTACCGTTTACTATCTTTTCTTGGACGTTTTCACCTCACTCACGGAAAATTAAAAAACTAAAACGTGACCAGGAGGCACTCGTGCCGGGCCTTCTGACAAGCAAGCCAATCGATGCGCACGCAGAAACACGTTTCCTGATTCTCTGAATTAAAACCAATGTTAAACATTTAGAGAGTTAAAGAGTCTTAAGTTTAGAAATACCGGGTTAAGGCCTGCTTTTCCATTTGTTTCAGGCTCTGTAAGGAGGTGCCACCCCAACCCAAGGCCACATTTGAAATGTAATCAACCTGGCCTAATAAGGAAGCTTGAACGGCCGGTGAACCGGATTTGGCTTCAGTACCAAATAACGAGTCAAAGGCTGAAGGAAAAACTGGGTAAGCTACAAATTATGTGCAGGGGCACCCGCAGCAGCACACTTCAGCTAACTTCTCGAATGGCAACAGGCCCGGAGCTGACCCCTCCTCCTGGCGTCTCCGCCCATCTGCCCAGCCTGGGAGCCGGCCCAGCCCGCCGGCCGGGAGAGAAGCCCACACTGAATCCCCGGAGCTGGATGACATCCCGGCCGCGATTCTCCCCACAAACGCCAGGCAACATCATCCGGAGGCACAGACGTCTGGTGCACACGCCCCTCCGGCGAATGCCTCCGAAAGCGCGCCAGCAGCCTGGCTGACGGGAGCCGTGAGGCCCAGGGTCCTGGGGGCAGAAGACCGTACCTGGGTTCTCCTCCATGATGTTGAGAGCCTCGATCGCAGCGGCAGCCAACAACGGGGGCAGCGAGGCTGAAAAGCAGTACCCCTGGCCGGAGAGTCGCTGAGAAGAAACAAACAAGGAAAAGACATGAATACACTTATTTTTTTTGGGGGGGGGGGTGCTAAAAACCCTAAAGGCACCAAATCTGCACGACCTGCTAACGGTGTGTGTACAAATGGTAAAGTGGGAGGAGCCACGCACGTGTAAAAGATACGCGTAACAAAAACGAGACCTTTTTAAGGAAGGTATTTTCCAAATACAAACATGTCGAGTCATTCTCAGACAAATCGACTTTTTATTTACTTACTTATTTATTAAACAAGTTTCTTTAATCTTTATTTTTGAGACAGAGAGAGCGTGAGCAGGGGAGGGGCAGAGAGAGGAGGAGACACAGAATCCAAACCAGGCTCCAGGCTCCGAGCTGTCAGCACAGGGCCCGACGCGGGGCTCGAACCCACAGACCGTGAGATCGTGACCTGAGCTGAAGTCAGATGCTTAACCGACTGAGCCACCCCGGCGCCCTGACATATTGACTTTTAAATAAAGATTGCAACAAACCAAGTCAGAGTGAAGCTGTGTGACTGGAAGTTACAGCCGACTAACTTCTAACACAGCCAGGGGGCATTAGTTTCAGGAGCTACTGTCTTTTTTTTTTTTTTTTTTTTTTAAAAGAACCCACCTGATGGTCAATTACAAAAGATCTGCCACAGCAGAAACCTCCAATAGAAGCGAGAGAATTCTCCATGTTGGCGCTGATAAGGTCGATATCATCAATCTGCCAAAAAAAGCAAGATGGTGGGAGTTATTCGTCAATTTAAAGCAAGAGTAAAGACCGACGTCAAGCCTGCAGACAGAACTGCAGCACTGGTCACGCTAACATCTTGGTTCAAATGAACCACCTCTGTGCCGATGAAGGAGAAACCCTACAAAGCCTACGGTCACAAGCACGGAAGGTTTCGAAGCGTGCCTCTAACGAGGCCCTTCGGCAATGTACCCCCAGTGGGAGGACAGAAAGAAATTAAAAGAAGAAACCCAAAGCTGCTTGGTACTACGAATATTCTGAGGTTCAAAATCAGTCATTTCCGTGCTTCAACGAGGGTCTAGTGGGCCATGCCCCCAGAAGGTACCTGAGATAAATACGAACAAATCTCAGAGTTTTGAACACTTTATCCCTACGCTCACCTTTTCAAAAATGCAAGGGCAGTTTTTCCAAACATCATGGCAACTGATTCTTTGGCCACGCCGAACCGGGCAACGGACAAACCCCACTGTGCCACGTGGCCTTCTGAGTCGCCACCGTCTCCTCAACTCGGTGCTCCCCTGACCCCGTCCTCCCGCTCCAGCCCCGGCACCAAGGTGCACCTGGGCACACAGCGGCCGTTCAAAGCCACTCACTGATGCCACGATGGTGACTGGCCCGATCCCACCTGGGGCTTCTGAGTGGTCCACAGACCCAACAAGGAAACCTGTTGGCTCTTACTTTCTAAAAAAACCTTTTATTATGAAAAACGTCAAACACACACAAAGGTAGAGAGGACAGAGTAAACAACTCTCATCACCAGATTCAGTCACCACCAGCTCGTGGGACAGTCTTCCACGGACAGCCTCCTCCTGCTCTCAGCATTTCTTTAGAGCAAATCTCCCAACTTCTTAAGAGTTTCATCTGTAAATACCTCAGTGTGCGTTTCTAAAGGACATGGACCCTTTCAAAAGCATAATCACGAAACCATTATCACACCTAAAAAATGAAAAATTTCTTAATATTGCCAAATACTCAGTGTTCTAATACCTGCCTCACAAAGCTTGTTTTCTGCAGTATCTGCCGGAATCAGGATCCGATTGAGGTCCATCTACTCTGCACCTCTGCTCAGTGCATTTAATCACCAAATAGCAGTCTGCCTCTGGGGAAGGAGTATGTGTCGCTCTAACTCGGGATATTCGCTCTGCTCCGTTATCGGTCGTGAGATGCAGATGACCTAAGGTGACTTCGTGTTCTTTAGTTCAACGTTTTGCCAGAGATCGGAAAGCTTTGACGCACAGGATCTGCAGAAAAGCTCCCCTCAGCTCCAGCACACAGGGGTCGGTGAAGACAGGCTCTGGGGGCGGGCAGACGCTGCTCCTCCCCGAGGCTCCAGGGGCTCAAGCCGCCGAGACTGGGGCAGGTGGGGCTCATTTGAAGAGAACACGTGACCAACTCCCTCCAGCTCTCTGGGACCTGAGGCTTGGTGGCGCGTCTGCCGGCAGTGTTTCTGACTCCGTGTCTCCCTCCGTAGAGAAGTCACGGCCATCTGACACCCGTACGCAGAACCCACCGAGAACACACAGTTGTAAATGTCGAGAGAACACCCTTTCACTGCCCCCGTCGTATTTTCTAAGGGACTACGTTAGGGAAGTCTTACTGACTTTAAGAAACACACGCAGGCAAGTTTATCCGTTTCTAGAGAAAAGACACGGAAAGCCAAGATCAAACGCTACAGGCTACCCAGACCGCATCCTAGGAGGCACCGCCGTGAGTTTCCAGGCTCTGAGGGACGACAGGCCCTGGTCTGGCGGACCTGGTCCCCTGTGGGCTCACTGAAGGGACAGAGCCCAGGGCGGCACGACCCTGCACGCTGACGGGGAGCACCGCCTCGCGCCCATGGTACGTGAACATGGCCGGCAGGACGGAACCGCGTGTTTTCTGCATGAGGACACACCCCAGAAAAGGAGCAAGGGGCACTTACGCTGATTCCAAAATGTTCAGTGACTCCTCGACCATGTTCTCCCAGGACTCCAAACGAAAGGCTTTCCTCCAGAAAGATTCTTGCTTTGTATTTGTACTTTAACTTCACCTGAGTGGCAAACAGAACGCAACATTAAAGTGCTGGTGACCAGCGCCATCAAGAAGATACTGGGGAGAACAGTGACACCTAGGAGGGAAAAAGCACATCTGGTCCCCAACACTGGTGGGTCTGTAGCTGTGCACCTGCCCGCTTGCTGGGCGCGACCCGAAACCCCGAATCAACACACAAGGCAGAGTGCGGAGCGGCACGCACGGAGTCACCTGACCTGCCTGTCCCCAGCTGAGGCTGACTCCTGCCTCCGCTCACACTGGAGACACGTGTTCTCTTCAGCGTCTATTTATCGCTGTGGTTTTTTGTATCTTGTGCTTTTGGCCGGTGGTTCCGGTTAGGACGGCCCAGCACAGCGCTGAAGTGCGGGGTGGCGATCTGACGCGCCAGAAGGCTGGGATGCGTCTCACGGAGGAAACGCGTGTGTTACAGAAGCTTCGTCCAGGCATGAGTTACAGCGCCGGTGGCCCTGAGCTCAACGTGAACGACTCAACAGTATGTATTAAACAAAGGCGTTTTTAAACAGAGAACACAAATACTGAGCAACTGGGGGCAGTGCCACGACCAGACGCTCGCAGCAAATGGACGGCACGTACCCCAGGAGCCACAGTCCTGCGGTCGGCAGCTCGGCACCTGTGGCCCGCTTATGCACGTTTCTCAGAACTACAGCTCAGAACACGGCCACGTACGCACGTTTCTCAGAACTACAGCTGGCCCTTGCACGGGTCTGTTTAGATGTGAAGTGTTTTCAATAGATACAGTCCAGCACTGTAAATGTATTTAGTCTTCCTTACGATTTTCTTAATGTTTTCTTTTTTTCTAGCTTACCTTAAGGATACGGTGTATAATACGTATGACATACAAAACACGTGTTAATCAACTGTTTACGTTATGGGTAAGGCTTCCAGTCAATAGTAGGGTATTGAGTTTTCGGGGAGTCAAAAGGTAGGTGGATTTTCAACTGCATGGGGGTCTGCATTGTTCAAGGGTCAAATGTGTCATGATGGTGAAGAGATTGTATTTTATTTATTAAAAAGTTTTTTTTTTTATAATGTTTATTTTTGAGAGAGAGAGACACACACACACACACACACACACAACATGAACAGGGGAAGGGCAGAGAGAGAGGAAGACACAGAATCTGAAGCAGGCTCCAGACTCTGAGCTGTCAGCACAGAGCCTGACGTGGGGCTCGAACTCACGAACAGTGAGATCATGACCTGAGCCGAGACCTGAAATGAAGTTGAGGCTTAACCAACTGAGCCACTTAGGCGTCCCAAGAGACTGTACTTTAGATGCTCTAAATTTAACAACAATATAGACAGTATAAGGCCAATTTTTAAAGACAAAATTGTAAGACCTTATGAATGTAGACAGTATGTGTTAAATACTGGTTTGAGTATACATAAAACTCCTGAGGAAATGTACATATTCTTCCCTCAGTGGCCTTATGCTTTAATTTGAATTCATGGCACTATTTTCTTAATTCAGAAAAAGTTTTCATTAATATGCCTTTCAATCTGTTTTCCCTCTTTGCTTTCAGGCTTGTAAGTAAGTCCTTTCCCTTTGAAGGTTTAGATGCATCCTTTTCTGAATGTTCTTCTAATTACTTCATGTTACTTTTTCATGTACATGTTGGGAAGCTGAACATATGTATGTTTGTATAGCTTTTCCCCCCTATTTTTTGTTTTTATTTTTTGAGAGAGAGAGAGTGTGAGCGGGGAAGGGGCAGAGAGAGAGGGGGACAGAGGATCTGAAGAGGGCTCTGTGCTGACAGCAGAGAGCCTCATGTGGGGCTGGAACTCACGAACCGTGAGGTCATCACAACCTGGGCTGAAGTCGGACACTCGACCGACTGAGCCACCCAGGGGTCTCCCCCAAATGTTTAACTGATATACTCCTAAATGATATGAATGTGATCAGTTCCACAACTGAATTAAAATACAGCGATTATCAACCACTAAACATATATGGATTTTTATTAACAATGAATAAGCTAATTTGGAGAGAATTATACCTTTGCAACACTGTTTTCCATCCATTAGTATGTATGAGATATTGTATGAATGAGACAATTTCTAAATATCATGTTTCGGAGGCGCCTGGGTGGCTCAGTCAGTTGAGCGTCTGACTTCGGCTCAGGTCATGATTTCATGGTTCGTGAGTTCGAGCCCCGCATCGGGCTCTGTGCTGATGGCTCAGAGCCTGGAGCCTGCTTCGGATTCTGTGTCTCCCTCTCTCTCTCTGTCCTTCCCCTGCTTGTGCTCTCTTTCTCTCAAAAATAAACAAACATTTTTAAAAAATCATGTTTTAGAACATATTTAAGCATATTATGCCAGTACTGGTACACAAATAGACAAATCGGTGAAACCAAACAGGAATCCCAAAGTCATAATCCTGTAATCTTTACATATTCAATGCTAATATATACTTGACCTGTTCCTTACGCTTTATATTTTGTTTCAAGGCTTGGCTGTATATCTATCCATCAGTACTGCTTTACTATTGTAGCCCTAAATATGCAATTCTGCTATCTTCTGGCCCACTATACTATCTCCCCCATATTATCCTATCAGTTTTTGACACTCACAAAAACAAGGAAAGGAAAACCAATACAACACATCTCTTTCGCTGATATTTAGAATGTGTCTAGATTTCCTCAAGAAACAGTAAAACACTTTAAAAACAAGATATGAAATGCTTATTCTGAATCCTCATTCAGTTGATGGGCTCAGACTCAAATTTCAATGGCTGAATTCAAGGGTGGTTCAACACGGGAAAATCAACTATACTAATAGGATGATGGAAGATCACATGATCAACTCATCACCTGATTCAGAGAAAGCGTCTCACAAAATCCAAATCTCTCATGGTACAAACACTCAACAAATCAGGACTAGGAAGGAACTTCCTCAACTGATAAAGGGCACTTATGGAAAACCATAGCTAATATCCTACTCCGTGGTGACAGCCTGACAATCTTCCCCCTCTCACCTCAGTCTACATTGTACAGAAGGTTCTAGCCAGAGCAACAGGCAAGAAGAGGAAATCAAGACATCCAAATTGGAAAGGAAGTAAATCCACCTCTATTCACAGATTATAGGAGTTTATATATAGAATAAGAGCCATAAAAATACTATTTGAGCTAGTAAGTTCAGTAAAAGTTCCATGACATAAGATCAAAACACAAAATCAGTTGTATTTCTATAAACTATCAGTGAACGCTCACCCCCCAAATCCCATTTATAATAATATCAAAAAGAATAAAATACTTAGGAATAAATTTAACCAAAAAGATATAAGATCTGCACAGTGAAAACCACAAAACACTGCCAGAGAAAATTAAAGAGGATCTAAATAAATGGAAATACTCCCATGTTCATGGATTTGAAGACTTAATATCAGTAAGATGGATAAACTTTCCACAGCAATCTACAGATTCAATACAATCTACAGATTCAATATAATCCTGATTCAATATCAAAATCCAATCTCTATCAAATATCTATTATCTGTCAAAATCTCAATGGCTGTTTTGTTTTGTTTTGTTTTTTACAGAAATGGAAAAGTTGATCCTAAACTTCAAATGGAATCTCCAGGCACCTCAAATAACCATAACAATCTTACAAAAGAACAAAATTGGAGAACTCACATGTCTTGACTTCAAGATTTACTATAAGGCTACAGTAACTGAGACAGTGTGGTACCAGCATAAGGAAATGGCCAGAAATGGTCATAATCTCACGGGTTGTGAGTTCGAGCTCCACATCGGGCTCTGTGCCAACAGCTCAGAGCCTGGAGCCTGCTTCAGATTCTTTGTCTCCCTGTCTCTCTCTGCCCCTGCCCGGCTTGTGCTGTCTCTGTCTCTCTCTCAAAAATAAACATTAAAAAAAAAAAAGAAAAAAAGCAAGAGTTTTACAAAACACATCCTATATGATTTCATTTACAGGAAATTGCACAAAAGTCAAAACTACAGGCACAGAAAGCAGATTGATGGTGGTCTGGGGCCAGGGCTGGAGGTACTGACTACAAATGCATATGAGTGAACTTTCTGGAGAGATCGAAACGTTCTGTAACTTGACTGCAGCGGCAGAGATGAGGGTGTACAAATCTGCCAAAACTTACCAAACTGTACTGACAGTGAATGGATTTCATTAGTGTGTCAATTACACCTCAATAAAGCTGGTTTTAAAAAGCTGGGTCTTGACTACCCTTTAAAGACCGGGCTGGCACGTAATGTTAATGTACTTCCCTGGTATGGCCTGAATGTGCTCCCGAGACCCGTCAGGCAAAGTGGTGCAGATGCGAGGCGTCACAAGTGCTCAGGGACAAGAGGCATCACCGCCCGACAGCCCGAGTTCTAGAATCTGGAGTGACCGCGGCTGCTCACCAGCTCCGGGAGAGGACAAATAGTTCCCGTGTTCATGTACAGCCCCTCCACCACGATGAAACGTCGTGTGACCCGAGCCTTGCGAGGATTCTTTAAAAGACAAAAACAAACAAAAAATGACATTTTAAATTTCAGTAATTCCAAATGCAGAACCTGTTAGACACTCCCTAGCACTCCCATCTGACAAGACTGATTCAAGAAGTAAACAGTCCGGATGCGTTTCAAGCCCAAGGTTTCGGACCCAATTATTCTGAGATGAAGAAAGTGCTTTCTTCTCTCATGTTTTTCAGTTCACGCCATGCACTAGGTGACCGCACACATGCATGCACGCACGCACGCGATTTAGGCACTCTGAGAATGACTGAGAAGGGGCCCAAGGGAACTTCCTGGGGAGATGGCAGCGTTTTAGGTCACAATGGAGCCCTCATAGCTGGGTTATCCATTGGTCAAAATGTATGGCTATGATCTGCTCACTTCAATGTCTGTGAAGTTCACCTAAACTAGAAAGAACTGGAGCGCCTGGGTGGATCAGTCAGTTAAGCGTCCAAATTCAACTCGAGCCACAATCTCGCGGTTTGTGAGTTCAAGCCCCGTGTGGGGTTCCGCGCTGACAGCTTGGAGCCCGGAGCCTGCTTCAGATTCTGTGTCTCCCTCTCTCTCTGACTCTCCCCTGCTCTCTCAAAAATGAATAAATGTCGGGAAAAAAACAAACTAGAAAGAACTGAGGTGGGTGAAGGCAATCGTCACCAGAGATGGGGTCGGGAGACGCAGAGGCTCCGGTGATACGAGAACGGCAGGATGTTGCTACCAGAGCTGGGAGGAGGGTAGGGGCTGCACTATACACTCCCGTGCTTCCTCTGAACCCGCCGGAGATTTCTCATGATCAAAACCTAAACAGACGAACCCTGCTCTCCATCTACCAAAACGCAGACAAGACCCTTTCCTTCCTTACTACTGGGTCAAGTAAAACTCAACTGTGCCCTCATCCAGGCATGTCTGAGGGGGCAGTGTAAACGGGCTGCGGTGCGGAAGGCAGTCGCGCGGGGCAGGTGGCTCGCACAGGCGGAGCTGCTCGGAGCTCCAGGGCGAAGGTGCGGGAGGGAGAGAGAGTCACTCTGTTCACACGTTCATAAACGAAGATGCGCCGCTGTTTCTTCCAGTTACCGGACACGTGACTTATCCTGATATAAATAAACCTATTTCGAATTCACGAGGTGCACCCTGCTCCCACCCTAATGAGCTCCGGTGTTATTTCTGCAGAGTGGAGAGCGAGCCCCTCCCACCCCCACCGCCAAGGGCGCGCGGTTTCTGTCTCTTTTAGAAAGCTGCCTGGATTGCCTGCCCGCAAATTTGCCAGCTGTAATTACGGCAACGACGAGGCAATTACAATCAGACCCGGCTCTCCCACACGAAGTACATTTAATCAGCAGGAATGCCCTCGCTTCATATCCAAATGCGATCCGCAGGCAAGTTTTCATGACAAATTACCGTTTCATATATGATTTAGCCGGTTACCGAACACAAAAGAGCTGTATAATTTTCTTGCAAAGAATCATACCTTTTGATCTTCGATCTCTTGTTCTTTCAGTAGTCGCTCCAGGTCGGCCATGTCGTTATGCTTAAATAACTGAATGTCACTACGTGACGCCTGTAATCCTTTCTGAATAGCAAAGCACGCGGCTCTGTCCCTGCAAGGAAGAGAGACCCGCACACTGGGGTTTAACAGCCTCGTCACCATTCTCGGGAAAGGAGAGCCTGCTCTGGGCCGACCAGCACCCACCCGTCGGCCTGAGCACGGCCAATCAACAGAACACGCTGGGCCCTGGACGCACGCGGTCTGCGCCCATCTCCGTGGGTCCTTCTCTCGGAACGGCCTCGCTACCTCTACTACACCAAGCGTGCCCTGGCCACACTGTAAGCGCCCCAGAACCAGCCTCCTGTGCGGCCTACTGTGGGGTGCACGTCAGTTCACTCAGCAATTTTCTCTTTCTGAGAAACACAGGAAACACTGGTGGTTCCCCCCCCCCCCCCAATGGCGTCTCTGGTTTGAGTGGCACAGACTGCCCTTAACTCTGCTGCGAGAAGTAATACTGAGTGGACTCTACCCCACTCAGCGCAGAACTCTGGGTCCCGCAGATTAAACTTCGGTAAGATCTCCTAAACGGAGTTAATAAGGGAGAGAATCATTTTTGAAATTAAGGTATAGTATTTAAAAATATAGGGGGGCCTGGGGGGCTCAGTCAGTTAAGCGGCTGACTTCGGCTCAGGTCATGATCTCAAGGTCCGTGGGTTCGAGCCACTTGTCTGGCTCTGTGCTGATGGCTTGGAGCCCGGAACCTGCCTCAGATTCTGTGTCTCCCTCTCTCTCTGCCCCTCCCCTGTTCATGCTCTGTCTCTCTCTGTCTCAAAAATAAATAAACGTTAAAAAAAAAAATTTAAAAAATAAAATTAAAAAATTAAAAAAAATAAAAATATATACAACACTTGTTCCGCCAAGATGGGACACTCCTATCTTCCCTATCTTTCCAAGTACAACCCCCACACTGGATATTACGTATAAAACAAACACAAGGAGACTCTGGAAGATGGAGAGAGATGGCAGACAGGCCGAGGACCCGAGGATGACGCGACAGGACTCTGGGGACCTCCCTCATCTGGAACCGACAAGGCCGGCCACACGGGCGAAAAGCGCTCACAGAAGCCTGCTCTGTAGCCCAAGGGCAGGACAGGGGGCAGCCGGGTAGGTAGAAATGACGGCAGCCGGACCCCAGGAAAGCTGGGCCCCGAAACTCTGATCCTCACGGAGCTAAAAGGCACCCCAACAATGGCCATGGTGGTATCGGAGAAGGGAGCCGGGACTTTTATCCCTGCGAGGTGGTACCAAGCGAGAGCGGGTGGGGACTCCTGCCGTGGCGGCCGTGTCAGAGGAGGCCTGAGGGAAAGCAGGACTCTCACCAACACCAGCGGAAACGAAAACGCCCCCACTGTGGCATCCATGGAGGCAGAAACGGGACCGTGGACTTGGACCCGGCAGCGTTGAGGCAGCAGTGCCCCCCTGCCCCGACTGGAAGACAAACGGAGAGAAAGCCCGTTAAAACATAAGTTTTAAATAAAGCACAGGCTGTAACGGCATAATATGAAATCGTCCTGGTTTCAAGTATCACTTGCCGTACCAAGAACCAGGAGATCTCAAACAGAACGAAACAAAACAATCAACAAACGTCAATCCGGAGAGGACGGATGTCAGGGATGATGATTTTAGAGCAGTCAGGACAAAAATGCTTCAATGAGCACTTATGAATATGCTCGGAACAAGTGAAAAACAGAAACCTCAGCAAAGAAACAGGAGACGGAGTCCTGTGGAGATACTAGAACTGAAAAACACAGTAACCTCAAGAAGAAGTACAGTGGGTGGGCTCAGCAGCAGACTGGCGGCGGGGGTGGAGGAAAGAATCAGAGAACTGACAGATGTAACAACCGAAGCTAGTCGTGTAAACCACAGAGAAAACGGACGAGAAAGGGCAAGCCTCAGGGACCTGTGGAGCCACGAAAAAAGATGCCACACTGCGTCAGGGGAGGCCCAAAGGACTCAAATTTGGCAAGAAGCTGAATCCTATAAAAAAGATGAGCGCGGGGCGCCTGGGGGGCTCAGTCGGTTAAGCGTCCGACTTCGGCTCAGGTCATGATCTCGCGGTCCATGAGTTCGAGCCCTGCGTCGGGCTCTGTGCTGACAGCCGGAGCCTGGAGCCTGCTTCAGATTCTGTGTCTCCCTCTCTCTCTGCCCCTCCCCTGCTCATGCTCTGTCTCTGCTCGGTCTCTCTCTCAAAAATGAATAAACATTAAAAAAAAAAATTTAAAATAAAAAAAGCTGAGCGAAATTCATATGGGTAAACCCAAAGAAATAACGCCAAGATTATAGTAAAGCTTCTGAAAACTGATGACCAAGAAAAAGTCTTGAACGCAGCCCCCTAAAATGACACCTTATATAGAAGAGAAAAATAACAAAGCGACAGATTTCTCATCAGAAACCATGGAGACCAGAAAAAAGTGCCAAAATATATTCCAAATACTTGGAAGAAGAGAGCTGTCAACCAAGAATTCTGTAACAAGCACAGATATCCTTCAGGACTGAAGGGGAAATCAAGGCTTTCTCAGTTGAAGGACAACTAAGAGAATCTGCCCCCAGCGGACCTCCCCTAAAGGAATGGCTAAAGCAAGTTCTCTACCTAGAAAAAATAAGTAAAGAAAACAAAAGGAAGAATCTTAGATTATCATGAAGCAAGAAAGAACACTAAGTAAAAAGTATGAACAAGCACACTAGGGTTTTGTCACCTTCCTGAAGTTTTCTAAATTATTTTGGATGATTTAAGTAAAAATTACAACACTGTCCAGAGGCACCTAGGTGGCTCAGTTGGGTTGCATGTCCGTCTGGCTCTTGATTTCAGCTCAGGTTATGATTTTTCAGATAGAGAGATGGAGCCCCAAGTCAGGCTCTGTGCTGACAATGCGGAGCCTGCCTGGGATTCTCTCTCTCCCTCATTCTCTGCCCCTCTCCCACTAGTTCTCTCCTTCTCTCTCTCTCTCTCTCTCTCTCTCAAAATAAACAAACATAAAAAAAATTACAACACTGTCTGATACCAGAAATACTTTAGCAATTACATTAAAGGGACGCCTGGGTGGCGCAGTCAGTTAAGGATCCGACTCCTGATTTCAGCTCAGGTCATGATCTTACAATTCGTGAGTTCGAGCCCCACGCTGGGCTCTGCACTGACAGTGCGGAGCCTGCTTGGGATTCTGCCTCTCTTTTTCTATCCCTAAATAAATAAAAAAATAACATTAAAAAAATAAAACAATTATATTATAAACAAGGAGCAGAGAAATGTAAAGGAAGGTACCAGTTTCTCTACTTGAACTGGTAAAATGATGAGACCAGCAATGTGATAACTTACGTGTGTACATAATGTCATATTCAGAGCAATGACTAAAAACAAACAAACAAAAACTATGCAGAGCGAAACACTCAAAAACACCATGGATAAGTAAAAATGGAATTCTAAATAAAACACGTTCACTTAACTCCCAGAAAAGAAGGAAAAAGAAAACAGACAAAAAAAAAGATAACAAATAAGAAACAAAAAATAAAACGCCATAAGAAATGCAATAATGATTTTAAATGTAAATGGCCAAAATACACAATTTTTTTTTTTCTTTACAAGATTTAAAAAAAATTCAAGTTAATTAACATATAGTGTGCTGTTGGCTTCAGGAACAGAATTTTGTGATCCATCACTTACATATAACGCCTGGTGCGCATCACAAGTGCCCTCGTTAATAAAAAACACAGAACGCTTCACGACTGTGTGTGTCCTCCGAGCACAGGGGCCGGGCTAATCCTCTCTGAATCGTTCCAACTTTAGTACACGTGCTGCCGAAGCGAGCACCAAAATACACAATTTAAAGAGAGACTGGCAGGGTGTTATTAAACATGACCCAACAATATCCCGCCTATAAAAGAACATACAATAATAATGTAGTAGTGAAAGTATACATATTACATACGATAAATATACCACTCAAACATTCACCAGAGAAAGCAGAAGTGTCTATGTTAATATCTTACAAATCAGACTTTGGAACAAGGAAAATGATCCGAGACCAAGAAGAACATTATACAATGATAACCAGGATCAATTACCCAAGAAAACTTATCTTGAATACGTGCCGAACAACAGAGCTACAAAAGATGAGAAGCAAACAGTGATAAAAGTGAAAGGAAAAATAGACAAATCACAACCACAAAAACTGTAGAACTACCATACAGAAAACCACGGGTAAGGTTAGATCCGATCTCAACAACGTCGTCAACTAACGGGATCTAACTGGCATTTATTTATAAAATAGTCCACCGAGCAACGGCAGAATATTCTTAAGTGACCGGGGAACATATTCCTATATAGACCACATCACGAGTCATAACACAAACTGCAACAAATTTCAAATCTCCAAACACTTGGAAGCTAAACACAGCTTCTAAATAATTTGTGGGTCAGAGAGTCTAAGGTAAAATAAAATACGTTGAACTCAATGAAAATGAAAATAAACACACCAAAATGTGTGGGTCAAGACCACAGTAGTATGGAGAGGGAAATGCAGAGCACTAACGTATCAGAAAAGAGGAAAGATTCAAGTCAACGATCAAAATTCCCAACTGAAGAACCTAGATGAGGAGCAAAGGAAACCAAGAGAGCAGAAGGCAGGAAGTGATGCAAGAAATCAATAGGGCTGAAACGAACAAGACAACAGAGAAAAGTCAATAAAACAAAGAGCTGATTCTTTGAAAAGATAAATAAAATGGACCATCTCTAGCAAAACTGCCTAGGAAGAGAGTAGACAGATTACCAGACAGGAATGAAATGGGTCGTCACTTCAGGCTCTGCAGACGTTAGAAGAATAAGGATATATTAAGAAGAATGCGACATACGTATGTTTGATGACTGAGAAGAAATGTACCAATTCCTTGAAAAACACAAATCACCCCAGCTCACCAAAGGGACACTGATAATTTGACCAGCTTTGTAAGTACTAAACAACTGATTTCATATTTAAAATACTTCCAAAAATTAAATCTCCGGGCCCAGTTGGTTTTACTGGAGAATTCTACCAAATAAGGAATTAACAACAACCTTATATAATGCCTCCAGAAAATACAAGAGGGAACACTTCCCAATAGGTTTTATGAAGTGGTCTCCTGATGCCAAGACTAAAGTCTGAAAAAAGTAAACATCACTAGCCATCAAGGAAGGAAATGTAAACTAAAACCACAGTAAGGTATCTCTACACACTTGTCAGAATGGCTAAAGTTAAAAAAAAAAAAAAAAATAGTGACAATACCAAACGCTTCTGAGGATGTGGAGAAACCTGACCATTTATATACTATCTATGGGAATGTAAAATGGTACGGCCACCCTGGAAAACAAGTTTGGCAATTTCCTAAAAAACTAAATCTGCAATACCACGTGACCCAGCAGCTGAACTAGGCGGCATACAGCCCAGGACCTATTTTCCCAGAAAAACCCGTACAGAAATGTTCACAGTAGCGTTATCTGTCAGAGCCCCAAACTGGAAACTGAGATGTCCTAATAGGCGAGTGGTTCAGCCGACTACGGCGCCTCTGTACCACAGGATACGACCCTGTAACCAAAAGGAATGAATTCCTGGTCCACACGATGTGGGTGGATCTCTGCAGAATTAACGCTGAGTGAAAAAAGCCGATCCCCAAACGTTACCTACCGTATGACTGCACTTGTACAACAGTCTTGAAAAGACAACGTTACAGAAAGGGAGAAGGGATTAGTGGTTGCCAGGGGGTAAGAAGTGGGGG